TTTCTACTGAAAAACCTGCTGTTATGTAATGGGGGTTCCCTTTAAATACTTGGCACTTTAAAAGATTTAAAATTCTTGTTTTATACTTTTGACAACTTCACTATAAAATGTCATGGTGAAAATATTTTCTGGTCATGTCTATTGGGTATTTTATAAGCCTCCTTGTACAACAAGGCGGAATAGTGTAAATCCATGGCTTTCCTAAGCTAGGAAAGTTTTTTACTATTTCATTGAATAGATTTCCTATGCTTTAACCTTTATTTCTTTCCTTTAGGGTATGTCAGTGATGCAGATGTTTGATTGTTTAATGGTGTACCATGCATGCTGAATGATCTCCTTATATTTCCTTTTTTCCTGTCTGAATGTTATATTGCAAAAGATCTGTCTTTATTGTTGAAGCTTTCAACTAGTTTTTTTATTTGACTTGTTTTGTGTTTCATTTTCAAGATTTCTGTTTTGTTATTTTTCAAAATGTTCACTTTGCTGAATTTTCCATTCATATTCTGAATTGTTTTTACTAATTTAACCATTTATCCATATTTTCTTGAATTGCATCCAGCTTCCTTAAATCATTCGAGTTATCAGACATTTTATCCATTTTAATATCTTGAGAATCTCTTATAGAGATTTGTGGTCTTTAGGAGGTGCTTTATCTTGTTTTCCATGTTTATGTCCCTGTGTTGAGATTTGTACATCTGATAGAATGGCTATTTTTACTTTTATGGGATGACCTTCTTAGTAAACAGCTTTCTCCTGAAGATATGTATAGAGGTATGGGTTATGCAATGTTGAGTTTATTTCCAGCTTGGCACAATAGCATAATCTCTAAAGTTTCTTTGTGATTAGTGAGTTTGAATATGGTGTGTACTGTATCAGAGATCCACTGTGTCCAGATATCATGCAAGAATGGGACAATCTAGCAGTTCAGGTAGGTGTGGCATGACAACAGTGTGTCCCTGTAATGGGAATGTTAACCCCTATTGAGTGATGGGGACTTCCTCACCGTTGATGTTGGCTCTGTTACTGATAAGGGTCTCAGGCCCTGGCTGTACTAGTGGTAGTGAGGAATTGAAGCACTTGTCTCCTCACTAGGTGCAGGTGAAGAACCAGATATTTCATGGGGAAGGGCAGAGACAGGAATCACACCACCCTCTGTGTGGCACTCACACCCAGTTTTGTCAGCGTTATGTGATCAGACAAGATATCCTAGCTGTTGGAAAGTTCTGTAATTTTGCATCTGGGGATGATGGTGGGGACCTGTGTATGTGCAGTGGTAGCAGGACTTGTATTTCTCTCTTTTGCCGCCGTGGGTATGCTGCCCAGGAGAGGAATTTCATTTCCTCTACGTGTGCCTCTGAACAGAGCCATGGCCCCAGAGAGCCTTTGCCCCCTGATTCTTTGTTGTACTGCCCGCTGGCAGTGCGGGCGTGGGAGGGCTAGAAATGGGTTGCTTCTGGAGCCAAGCAAATTCCTTCTAGCTGAGGTACTTATGGGAGCCAGGGAGATCAGAACAGTGCTGGAACTGGTCAGTTTCTCTGTGGACCTTTCGTAAGATGTACCCAGGGGAAGGAGACCGCTAGACCACAGAGTTGTACAAAGCTGTCAAAACAGCCAGGCATTATGGTGCCACCCCTCTATTCCCCACATTCTTGAGACTGAAACAGGAGAATCACAAGTTCAAGCCTAGTGTTTTGGGGGTGGGGATTTTTTGTCTAATAAAAAAGGACTCACTGTCCTATCTCATTGTGAAGACCCTAGGTTCAATCCCCAGTTCTGAGGGGAAAAAAAAATTTAAAAAAGACTGCTGAGTCAATGAAACCATATAATTACTATTCTTCTTGTGATAGGCACCTTGCGGGTAGGAACTACCTAGGGAACTGCCTTTAATCCTGGCACCAGTGTGGAACCACACAAAACTGGCAATGCCCCTAGTCAGAGGACAGCAGATTCTATCTGCTCTGTTATAGTTGTCTCCAACACAATACTTACGTTGGTCACTCTGTGGAGCCAGTTTACTTCCTGAGACCACTACTAACCGTGGAACATCTGTGGGGAGCCAGAGATGGGAATAAGCAGGGTTTCTGACCCCTTAGTCTTGATCCAGGTCCAGTCAGTAATACAAGTTCCTTCTCAAGGTGGTTCCTGGTTATAGCACCCTGGGAGTTCATTGGAAGATGATGTGAATTCCCTTTCTAAAGTCCGACTGAAAATTATCTAGCTAGGCTGTAAACTTATAAGGATTGTAGAACTTTCCAAGAGCTAGAACTGTCAGTGTCTGCATTTAAAGAGTTTGCTTGGACTCTCTAACTCCGCAGAACTGAAACTTCCTCTCCAGAGTGTGGAATCCAGGCTGCAGGTGTTGGTATATTTTTCTCTTACTGTGTCCTTGACCCAGGTCTCTGGATTTTATACGGTTTCTATTTATCTCCAGATTTCTGTGTTCTGTCACTCACCCCAGTAAGGAACTACACACTTGTTGCCTTGGTTCTTCCTTATAGGAGGGATGGTCAGTATTGTGTACTTTTTGTGGCCATCTTCTCTTACTTTTGCTTTTTAGTATATTCTGTATATTCTTTACTACTTTTTTTTTCATTTCCAAATTATTTAAGCACAAAGTAATAGTGGTAAGATGATGAGGAAATAGGAACTCTGGGGTTACTATTTTGGTCTGCATTTTGGTTGAAGCTCTATCATCAATTGAATACTACCATAGTATTTGAAATTGACAAGTGCTTTGTTTTATTCATTACATTGCCCCATAATATGTATCTCTGGTAGGCAGGAGTGAACAGTTCTTTCCCATTTTGCCACTAAGAAACATGAGACAGAGTGGTTGGATGTCTAGCCTGGGCTTATAGAACTTTAGTCCTCTTTCTCTCCTGTTAGAAGACTTTCAGTCCCAGACTTCTTCCAAAAATCCTACGCACTATTAGAGGTGGGCCTTCTATTTTATTTTTAACTCAGTTAACAAAAGTAACCTTTAGAGCATTTCAGTTTTTGTTTTGTTTTGTTTTTAATTGGAGCTAGGCCTATCTCTAGGAGCCGTGAGAGAAGAAACAAAACATGGCTATGTGAAGTGGTGAAAAAAACGTGGTATCCAGCATCAGAGATCTAGGTCATTTCCATTTCATACAATTACCTGTGTGATTTATACCACCTCTCTTTGTAAGCTGCTTTCCTCACCTGTCAAGGGTATAGGGCTGTGCATTTTAAGTTCTCTTCAGCTTTATCACTTCGCAATTTGTTGGTGGAAAAATGGACCTTACAGATCAGGGGGATTTGGGGTGACTATTCTATTGGGAGGTGTCTAGCTATCTTTAAACATTTGAGTAATTGTTGCAGTAACTGTTTCTTATGTTTAGTGTTGATAGTAAAAAGAAATTGTCTTGGATTGAAGACAAGGGAAAAGTTTGGTTTGATGTAGAGGACTTTTAGAGTATACTACTGATTAAATTCAGAGGTCACAGCCCAGGAAAAACAGTAGAATCACCATAAAAAGAAATAGAATTGATAGCATTTATATTGGGGCTTAAAGTAGGCTTGATTGAGACAAGTATTGAAATGAGAGTTCACTGGCTTCATAACAAGGAAGAGTTTTAGACAGTTATTAAATTAGGCATTTTATGAATCCGGAAATGTGTCAGTTTGCTGATTTTTTAAGATGATTTTCTTGTTCTTTTCAATAAAGAATCAACAAGATTGGAAGTACCCAGGACTGAAGGTCCATGAACACACCCATTCTAGAAGTGTTTTATTGCTCATTATGATAAATGTATTTTTTTTTACCATATTACTTAAAGGGAACAGGAAAATCCATATTGACCCTGAACTTAATGACTAGTGAGCAACATACTTAAATGGAGAAGTGTAAGTTTTACCATACTGGTTAAAGGATAACAAACTTTAATTTCACCAGTCAGCCAACATGGAATTAAGGGCTATCTCTGGATGCATTATCTCTTTACTGCATTCCTGGGACTACACAGGTCCCACAGTTGACAGTCAAGTGGTTCACTGTTGCCCCCACCCCCACCCCACTGCATACCTGAGGGTGCAGCTTTGTGTTTAGAAATTGTTTCTGGGCAGAACTCAGGCTCTGCCCCTAGACCACGGGTGTTGAAGTGAGCTGTTTGTATCACTGAAAGCTCAGAAAAATTCCCCTACAGCTTTCTACTTCCCAAAGATATAGTAATTGAGTCTTAAGAAAGGTATCAAGACTTCAGGTTTAGTGACACTGTTTGCCAATGTTGAACTGGTTCATCAATAAATCTACGAATCCTTCCCAGAGGTTCTAGAAAAGTTCCAAATAATAGTATCATTGCACTGTTTGTTACTCTGAGAAAATACCTTTAATGAGGACTCAGCTGGTTCTGGCAGCTGGTTAGCTTCAATATCTTCCAACTCATCACAAAACCCAGCTGGCCTTTGCTACTAAATAACTCAGATCTGTCCTCTCTCTGCTATTAGCCACCAGCATTCCCTGCCTGGAATAAAGCACTGTCCTCTTAACTTGCCTCTCTGCCCCCCTGGACATTATTCTTCATGCAGTAGCCTTTGGATTCTTTAAAAAAAAAAAAATTCAGGACCTGATGTCACTTGCCTGCTTAAAATTGAGTAGTTGTTTTCATTGCATTTACCATCAGAGCAGAATTCTTATCTCAGTTCACAGGGCCCTCCTGCCTTCCTAGCATAGCACAGTACAGTGGTGTAGGAATTAAAATCTACATCTGTAGCAGTAAGTAGTAACTTGACTTCTTGTGCTCATGTCTGTCATGCAGGCTGGCTGCCTCTGCTGGAGGGAATGCCCTGCCACACTGGCAGGCCTGGGGAAATTAGCAGCCACTAGGTTCTGAGAATTAGGTTCTGCAGCCATGTTAGTTTTCTTAGTCTGGCCACAGAAATAATTGCTATCAACAGAAACCTGTGGTGAACACTACTGTGCTTTACTCTCTTGTCCTTAGATCTAACATCTACATACTTCCTTGTTCCAAACTCTACAGGAAACCCAGGCTTCGGGGAAGCTGCATCAGTCACCTTAGTGGGTCATGAAGCAGACAGCGTGCTAATCACCTGGGCCCAACCTGCACTACTCATGCAGTCAACTTCCTAGCACTTCTTGTTGGAAACAGGAGCTGTTGCAGCAACCAGGAGTGGCCCTGAGATCCCTGTGTACCCCACCTCCTCTTGCCAACCCTCTTAAGACTTCATCTTTAATCCCAGACAGCTATGAGCCTGGGAGGACAGAGCCCAGGTGATGCAGCTCTCAGCAGTATCTTGCCCACATTGGGTATGATTTCAACCAAAATGTGTTGGGTGAGTGATGAGTTTGGGGTCAGTGTATTCCTATAATAAGTACTGCCACCACAGGACTATTCCTGAAAGTCATTCGGTGGTATAGATTGACCGTGATTAATTTTACAGTACTAATAAAATGTGCTTTGTAGAAAATGAATCAGAATGCTTCCTGCTAATGTTTTTTGAAGCTGCTCTCAGCAACTAATGAAGTTTGTCAGTTTGAGTTTCGAAAAAGTCAGACAAGGATTCAACTTCTGTTCCCTTTTTTGTTACTTAGAACCACTATCAAATAAATAAGGACTTAGTATGACCAACAGTATTTCTGTTACTTAAGATGAAATATACTGTTTTAGTAGCATAAACTTCAGCATCGCTGTGGCTTAGCAAGGCAACTGTTACTTTAACACCCTTGTCATGGCTCTTCTTGAACCATGGTGGACCATAGTTGGAGCAGGAGTATTGGAAATGAAAAGCAGGGACAGGTGTTTTTCAAGGTAAAGCCCAGAAGTGGTTTCCATCCCAGAATGCAGGGTTATGGTCCCAAAGTGCAAGAGGGGTAGGAAGTATGACAGCCTATGGATACTCGGTGAACACTGCCAGCCTCTGCCATATTTATTACCTGTCACCATTATGATCAGCTGCTATCACAGACCAAGTGCTTCACACACATCTATGCTTACAAAAATTTGATAAGGTGATTGCCTTTGGCCCCTCTTTACACTTGAGATTGAAGAAATTAGCCTGAGGTTTTGAGTGTACACTGTGTAGCCACCATCTTACCCAGCTCTGCTTCGAAAGCCCAGTTTGGCTTTTCCACTATACAAGCCCAACATGAAACAGTCTCACCACTTCATTAGCATGCGAATCCTCTGGCGTGCAGACACTCTGCCCTTGTGTGATGTGTGCATGAAGCAGTACACCTGCATTTCTTTAAACATAGTTGGTAAGAATTCTTTTTACTCCCTTTAGTGCCCTGTGAGTGATGCAAACCCTACCCAAGCCCTCTGCTCTCTTCTGAACCTCTCTGCAGGTGAAGGGTGGGTCTTGCAAACATTTGTGTAGTAAAAGAATCAGAATTCAACTTTAGCTTCCTAAGAATGTCACACTTCAGTCACCTATCACCCCAACTTCTCATTAGAGACCACTGTGACAGTAACAGCCTCTCAAAGTGCAAACCCCCCCGCCCCCGCCCATGTGCACAAACCCTCTCCAGCCAAGGGAACAAGTCTGCAGCTTTTACTGGTTACTGGGGCCTAATTAAAGGCAGTCACAAAAAATAAGATTACAGTCAAGACCCTGACACACACACTTGAAATGTCGATATGGGATATAGGGACTGAGTTTTACAGCCTTTGTGGTTTGCCATTCTGAAAAAGTATTTCATTTCACAAACAACTGTGATTCCATTCATAGAGATCCTGTTGGCTGGTGGTTCTCAACCAGAGTTGTACCTTTCAGTACTCCACTCCAGGGAGCACTTAAAAAAATCCTGATGGCCAGGCCACTGCCCAGACCATTTGCTTACAGTCTCTGGGTTTAGGTCCTGGGAATCATCATTTTTTAAACCATCTCCAATGATTCTAGGTGTAGCCACTTTGAGAACCTCCACTGTAGACTGATGATTTGCCAGAATTAGGAGGGATGTAGAGAAGCAAGGGAAAAAACCAAGACATTCCAGAATTCTTTGTTAGCTTAACACTAGGGAAAACTCCTTAAGGAATTTGAGTTAGCTGTAATAACCTTAATTTTTCCCCCACAGCAAATACAGCCAACATAAATGCTGCTTAATTATTAAAAAATGTACCCAAAGCTGAGTGATACAAGGCCCTGCAGCCTGGGATATTTTTTTTTTTTTTTTTTGTAACATGTTTTTACAAAGTAGTGATCCTTTAAGCTTCGTGCCAATAATTTTTTATTAATGACAGTATAATTGTGGAAAATGTAATTTTGAATATAGGGCCAGACATGGTGGCACGTAAGTCTAATCCCAGCTAGTCAAGGAGGCTGGTGTAGGAGCATTCCATGTTCAAGGTCAGCCTGGGCAACTCAATAAGACTCTGTCTCAAAAACTAAAAAGGGCTAGAGCTAGAGCTCAGTGCTCCCTGGGTCAGTCCCCTCTGCTGAAAAACAGAAAAAACAAGTAACAAACAGGCTTGGGTGGGGTAAGTATGTCAAGGGAGAATGACTGAATGTTACATATATATATTACAAACAGGTTTAATAATAGGAAAGACTTGCCTCATAAATAAAAGCTTGGAAACCTGCTTAGCAACTCATGTGGAGCTTTTGTTCTGAAAGGTATCTGTCTCCACCAGCCTGTGCCCTTACCTACTTGATTAATTCCACTTCCTATCCTTTTTCTACAGGTGGTGAGAAAACCCAGCATGCTTAGCTTCTTCTGCAGATTCCCATTGGAGCTTTGTTTTCTTTCCACAAATCTTCATACTGTCAGGAGTTAGATACTTGTAAAACCTGAGAAGGAAGTGTGAGGTGGAGCCCTTTGGACATTAGGTTAGGACTTTTGTTGTGACAGGATAAATCTATTCACAAGGCAATAAATTCAGAATATTTATTGCTTTAAGTAACTGAACAGAGAAGAGGCAAGCTGTTGTTTCAATCGGGACAAATGGCATTCTCTCTCTGAGGTTTGCCAGCTGTGTCTACTTAAAGCTTTAACAATACTTTCTGGACAATATAAACACGTGACAGACAGCATACATGGGTAACAACTTGGCCAATGATACACTATTTAAAATAGTACATAACACAGGCATCCAACCTGCCCACAGCCCTGGAATGACAGTAACAATATGTATTCATAGGATGTGCTGGATACAAAACCTTTTTTTAAAAAAATTTTTGGCATTAATTCTAACACAGAATATCTTCCTGAACATTCAGAAAGAGTTGGTACACACAAAAGTAACCTCTTTATTTCTAGATTACCAGTATCTATAGAACTGCTTATCTAAAAGCCAGGAGGCTGGGCAACTCCCCTCCCAAATGTCATTTCTTTGCCAAAGCAGCAGGATGTAGGTGGAAAAGGGCAGCTGACAGGGCCCCAGGGGCTGTCTGAAGTCACCAAATGCTACACAGAGCAGCAAAGGTGGACACTGCCCCAGCAGGGTACATGAGTTAACCACAGCTTTGTCGGTAACCAAGGTGTCCGTGGATTTGACCTAGATGCATCATGGATGACTCGTGGGGCATCAGCAGGCACTGAATGGTCCGGCTCCTCCTTTGAGAGGAATGGTGGAGCCAGGACTGAGCCTTTGACCCCACGGTCTAAAACAAGCACCCTCACCTCGAATTCTAACACTGGGTTATTAACACACCTTTCAAATGGATGTGCAGAAACCAACACTGTCAAAAATAGTAGTCAAGCCAAGCCAAAGGGTAATACAACACCAGGGCAAACCAGCTACTGGCAGGATGCCTTGGGTTTGCCCACTCGTCTAGTAGCACAAACTCAGTTTTCTGGAGTAGTTGGAGCAGGCTCTCCGTCAACTTCCTCAGCATCCCCATTGCTGGCATCCTCTCCAGGGTTGGAGTGCCTAAGGGCTGATGAGGTCCTGCTGTAAACAGCAGGTCCATTCTGCACAGCCCTGCCCTCCAGGGCCTTGCCACCTGGCTGGCTGGGAAAGGAACGGTTTTCTTCCTTGACCTCTTCCATAGGGAATCTCATCTCAGGGGCTCTGCCCTCCTGCTGCCTGCCCAGCACACAGTTTTCCACATCTCCCTCTTTGGAAAACTGGTCTTCTAAATTCTTCTCATTTTCTTCTACTTGTCGTTTGTCTCTGAGTTTACCTTTGGATTTTCTCATCTGCCTGCTGTGCATCTCTTCTCGGGAGAATCGCCAGTGGAACTAGAAATCAGAGAAAGTAGGGGTAAGTAAGTGCAGGCTCTGTGAACCTAGAGCTTCACCTGAAGGGTATGTGCATTCACTCCCCTTCATGTCTCCAAGCGAAACAATTCCCAGGATTCCTCCCTATCACAGCCCAAACCCCTCCTACCCATTTGGGGCCTGCATGTATTCTAGATGGGGTGCCATGAGGGACACGAGAGTACTCTGACAGGCCCCATGCTGAAGTGGAAAAGGGGTCTTCAAACCCTATCCTTTGGAGGCCAGGATTAGAGAAGAGGGCAGGCTGCTGGTCCTGGGGATCACTGCACTGCACTGCAACTGCTGACTTCCATCCTGAGTATGCTGTAGGGTTACCAACCTGTAGGCTGGTATTCTTTCCCCAGCTCCCTTGAATGAGACAGAGCCCAGCATGTGGGGCAGACACTGCTATGCCACCCAGTGGCAAACGACTGGCAGGCTTCCCCCGCCAGCTGCAAGGACTGCTACTGGCTGACAGTCCTTTGACCTTTAGCTACCATCTTACTCAAAGTCTCCCTCCCTGGGATACCCTACAGCCAGTGATTAAGTGAATAGTTTAGGTGGCCTGTAACAGCTCATCTCAATATCCCAAGCCTGAAAGACCATCCAGCTGCAGAGCCATCAACCTAGCTCTGCTCTCTGCTTCCAAGTGTCCTTAAAAATTTCTCTACCCAAATTTATCTCAGTAGTTGCTTCTTTCTAGAGCACATGGCCTCCAACCAAGTAGCTCCCCATGGGACAGGAAGTCAGAGCCTTGTAGTCCCAATGTCTCGTGGCCAGTAATAGAGCTGAGGAGAAATCCTCATCTTCTCAAAGCTTTGGAGTGAGACTGCCCTGGGAAAGCCCAGCCCTGCCACTCACTGACCTTATTCTCTGCCTCATTTTTCTCATCTCAGTGATATGCACTACACATAGGGACTTTAGTTTCAAGTTTCTACCTCGGTCACTTCCAATTCACTTGCACCATGCTGGTTACACCAAATATGTACTTAAATCTCAGGTATTTTGCAATTGAAAGAAACAAAGGGAGCCTTCAGTTTCTGAGATGTCATACAGAGCTGAAAAGGGGTGTCTAGGAATACAGTTGTACCATCAGTGGGAAACCTACCACCTTGTAAATCATCCTGAGTGCTTTGCTAGGAAAAGCTAAAAATGTGCTATGTAGATGTTTAAAAAGCATCCCAATTTTGCAGTTTTCCATGGCAGAGATGTTTCCTTGAACAAAACACTTCTAAGGTGTTTTGGGATTTTATATTTTTTAGACAGCACTGGTAAATTTGAATATGCCATCAGAGAAAAAGTAGTGAAGTACTAGAGGTTAGGATTTGACATTTATCCTGTGTTCCCTACCTCACCCTCCCCAAACCTACAGTGCTGGATGGTTTTCCCTTTGTCACTTGTTTTTTTGAGGACACTAATGCTACAGCTAGACTTCCGTTGGGGGTAGTGGAAGCCTCTTCCACCGAAGCTGTGTTTCCCATGGTGGTATCACTGGACAGCCTAAGTAGAACCTCTGTCCTCACTCTTACAGATGTGCCCACTTCAGCCACAACTACACAGCAGGCATCTCAAGCGCCATAGTGTATCAGAAGATGACGCTGATTTCAGACAGCACGGTGGCGGCTGCCTCCAACACCAGCCCTCACGTGTCTCAGGCATTATGTTACTTTGGCTCATAACCACCCCGTGGTAATACACAGCCCAAATGGAACAGCCTTTTTTTTTTCTCCCTAAAGGATGTCTCAAACTAGTCTTCACATTTGACATCAGTTTACATGTTTTAGAGAAAGGTTTCAGTTAAACATGCTTCTATGTATTCTTCAAAGGCAGCTAACCAGGGAGACAGAGGAAGTTTTACTTTTGCCACAAAATAGTGATTGTTTTGGCTAAAGGGCCCTTACATGCTAAAATATTATAGTGTTGTAGTGTGTCTTCTAAGCCTCAAGTTCAAATTCCAGGCCTGGTGCTCCTTAGCAGCTGATTCAGGGCCTCAACTACACCGCTGCTGGTGTTAATAGCGCCCTCTGCAGGTAGGAAGGGCACATTTCCAGCCTTTTCTAGAACAAGCCCAGGTACTCTGAGGGTCTCCTCTTGTTGAAGCACCAGCAACAGTCCTGCAGTTCCCCATAAAAGATGCCACTTCTGTGGCTTCCTGATACAGCCTAGCATTCAGACACTGTGGGAAGACCCAAGCAGGCACATGACCACTTTCTCTAGGGTCCTTCCTGGACAGCTGGGAAGAAGACTTGGAACTGCCAGTGTGAGATGAGTGAGACTCATTCAGCTATCTTTTGCCCTGCAAAGTCATAGAAAAATCCACCAAACCAAGAGTCCCTTAGGACTGTGAAGTTCCGTGTATCCTTACACAGGTTTGTGGGTAACCTGACTCCTGGGACTGGCTGGGCCCCCATCTCACCACAAGTGTTACAGGGGCCACAGCCAGATACCCAGATCCCAAGGAGACCCTGAGACTTGGGCCTTCCCTTTTCCTCTAAAGGACGCAGGGCAGGAGGAGTGGCACGTTCAGGGATGGCGCTGTTGAGAAGTCCAAAGGTTCAGAGTTGCTGCAAAGGCAAATGGACCAACCTCCCAAGGGAGAACAGGGACCTACTGGATACTTACTGGTTTACAGTATTCCCCTAAATTCCCAAAGCAAGCCCCTCAATTCATGTTAGCACTGTGGTAATGATGATCATCTAGAGGTTAAGCAACGTGGCCCAACTCACAGCTAGGAAATGAAAGCTGGAATTCAGACTAATCTCACCAGCTCTACCCTTCCAGCCTCTTTCTTGGCAAAAGGCTTCACACTTACACTGTAGAGGAGAGCCAAGATAGGAAGTGACAGGGAAGGCCATACCTATGGAATGGATCAGCCCAAGGTATAACACCCTCCACCTGCAGGCTTTATGAGGGCAAAAATGCATCTAACAGGTCGGGTAACTGGCTGAGTGGCCAGTTAGTGGAAGTCCAGATCTAACTGCCATTAAAGATAATTTGGCTCAGTTTATTAAAAAATATCTACACTGATGGGCCAATTTTTAAAAGTTCAGTGATGATAAAGTTTGAATGGAAGGCCACACGCGAGCCTATAGAAAGCCCTGAAGCATCAGCCCTCGGCAGGCATCGGGGTCACCTGGAAGGTTGAGGGAGCGAGGCAGACATCTGATTTTAACGGGGTATCCATGTGGTTCTGATTCTGTTGGCTCATGGAAAACCAAGGAGCTAAGAACACTTGGGCAAGTGGGTCAGCTAAACTGTGGGACACACATCTGGGAAGAAGTAACAGCTCTGCAGTTCACACTCTGCCACCCAGGGAAAGGTGTCCTCCTCCTCCTTCCAGTCTTTACACTTGTCTCCCTTCACCACACAGACCTCGTTTTCTTCTTCAGGCATGGGGCAGTGACAACATATAACAAATAACAAAAACTGTTCCAGATCTCAAGGCTCAAAAGGAGACAACCAGCAAGGAGAGGCTAGGGCTGCATCCTGTCTTTCCGGTTGAGCCTTTGAGGGGTGCTAAGTGCAAGTGGGCCCACTGGGAGAGGCAACTACTACCTGAGCACCCATAGACAGTCTGAGTGCAGCCAACAAGTGCCAGGAAGATAGGCTGGGCTGAATTTGGACCTCTCTAAGCCAGAGTATTAATGGGACCCTGGCACCAAATCCAGTAGCCACCCAGTACAGAGCTGCCTAAAAGAAATTTTTTTTTTGGTACTGGGAATCGAACTCAGGACCTTGTGCTTTCCAGACTGACACTGTGCCACTCAACTAAATCCCCAGCCAGGAAAAGAAAAATTCTTTAAATTAGTGTATATCCAGAGTTCAGAGTCAGCAAGAGCTAGTGGGTTTAATTTGCATATTTAAAAAACTGTCCAATATATGTCCAAGTAGTTCGCTGGAAGGAAGACTTCTCTGGTGTGGTTGAAATCAGCTATTCCCTTGGAAGGAGTCTGTTTGTTTTGAAAAATCACACATATACGGTGATTTCTTTTAAATATCACTTGGAGAATTCTGTCAGTGTTGCCACTGAAAAGGACTGAAGGTGGCTTATCTTTGGTGTGCTTATCTTGCAATTTCTGAAATTTCAATGCCAGATGTGTGTTCCAGGGCTCCGAAGTTTGATAAATCATTCATTGATTCATCAGATATTTGTTGAGTACCAGCTAAAGCCCAGTACTGCCTAAATAACAATCAGAGGGATAAAATTTGCTCTCTTGGGTGAGTATCTGACTCTACCAAAGATCACAGGCCCAGAGCAGCACTTGCAAGGCAGGGAGGCAGTTCTTCTCAGTGTATTTACAGAGGAGCATGGCATGGCCTCAAAGGAGAGAAAAATGTCCTGGTGTTACGGTTTAGATCTAAAATGTTCCCTAAAACCTCAGGTGCTCATAGGTGTGGCTTCTGGGCGGTGCTCTGATTAAGGGGCTTACAGCTGACTCGTTAGGTGTAATCTTGTCAGAAAAGGTGGGTGACTAGGGTATGGTGTGGATGGGTGCCCTCTTTCCTGCTCCTTCTCCTCTCTCTGCCTCTCCGTCCCTCCCCCTTCTCACCAGGCCAGGAACTTTTTCTCCTCTGCCTGTTGCCTATCCTTGGAGCCACCTCTAGAAACTGGGTCCTCTTTTAATTTGTGGTGTCAGATGTTGTGTCTCACTGGGAAAGTAACTGAGACGTCTGGGAAGATGCTGCTCAGATGCAGAATGGAGAGCATCCCAGCCAGAGGGAGCAGCCAAGGAGGTGCCCTGTGGCCAAAGAGGCACAGAGCAGCACAAAGGCAGATGTGGCTGGAAGGTAGAGAAGAGGGGGCAGACTGCAGAGATGAGAGATGCCAGACCACACAGGGCCTGTGGGCCACAGTACAGATTTCCATCTTTAACATACAGCTTTACAACGGTTTTAAGCAGTGGATAATGTATTCAATTTGCTTTTTTTAAAAGCTCATTTTGGCTCTACACAGAAAGCATATTCAAGAGAGAACCCTGTTACTAGGAGACTAGAGTAGTTGGAAAGTGATGGTGGAAGTTATTCTAGTGTCTGGAAACTAAAACACACAGATCTTAAGGACAGACTGAAGACAGGGAGAGGGGTGAATCAGGATAGCCCCTGGATGGGTGCTGTTCCTGGGTGGGTCAGAGGCAGATGGGCCAGATAGGAGGAGAGGCAAAGTCACAAGACTGCTCTGAGGTGGAGCAAGCAACAGGGCAGACGGAGCTGGACTCTTGTGGAATTGCTGGCTGACAATGCAGACAATAGCAACACAGAGGTGGTACACGATGCCCTGGGGATGAGGAAGATTTTCTAGGGAAGAGCTCAGAGGAGAAACAGAGTGCCTCTGAATCCTGAAAAGTCATTCGGTAGACAGAAAATCAGGAGAATGTGATAGCATGGGACTAAAAGACAAGGCTGAAGCCCACACTGCCAAAACTGTGGGAACCCAGGTTCCCACAGTGAGGAATAGATAAGAGTCACTGTCAGGGCTATCAGGGAACACTGACAGAGACAGCTGAGGCATGAGTGACAGGAACAGAGACTGAGCACAAAGGATTCTTCCAAGAAGTGTGGTTACAAAGTCCCCTGTCTACCAGTGAAGTGACCCAGAGGTCTTGCAGAGAACAAGTGCTTGGTACCAGTCACCTGATCTTGGGGTGAAGCAGGAAGTAGGTATTGAAAAGGGAAGGGGTCCCCTTGTATTTATATAGCTGATGAGAATCGGAAGTTCTCAGTAACTAGGAAAAAGATATCCCCTCTGACTTTTCCTCAGGGAAAGGCAGTTTTTTCTCTTTATAGCAGCTTTTAAAAATCTCTCTCTTGAATTTTCCTGCCAGCTCAAGTTGCTAGTGACTTGTGCCCCACTGTGAAATGTCAGGTCCTTTCCACCAAAGTCAAGCTGCACTGCACGCAGGTACCTGGCAAGGAAAGATAGCACCATTTCCCTCGTCAGGGGCTGCAGCTGATCCCTTCCAGCATCTGGTAGATGACCTCATGTGTGTCGCTTGTTGAATGTCACTTGCTATGGATGATGCCATCTCTGTGAGCCCATGACTGAGCAAGTGGTACCTGTCTGTGGCTATCCATCTTCTAGCTGGCAGCTAACTGCTCCTGGTGGTTAATGGTGGATCAGCAGCTGCCTTCTAGTCCACCACTGCTGTCATCTGTCACATTATAATCTCAGAGCCTGGATCCAGACCTTCCTCTGCACCCCAGCCCACCTGGCTTCACGTCTTCATTGCCTTGGCATTCGTTCCATGAGTGGGCACCCCCTGGATTTGTTGGCTGGTGAAGGACTGCTCCAGGCTGTTTGCTTACTGAATGCTCCTGTTTAGGTAGGGCTTTGTGTCCAAAGAACAAGAGGAACATGAGGATGGAGCCGAGTGTGTAGAGCTGACGAGTTCGGGCAGATTCCTGAGTGTGCCCTTGGCCAGCAAAATGGAGTGTGGTAGATCCAGCTGATCTAACTGGGGGTTTGGTATTCATTCAACTTACTGCCCTCTTCCTGAGCAACTGGCGGCATACCCCCATGTGTTAGCTTTTTGTTAGCGTAACAAAAATATATAAGAAAACCAACTAAAAACGAGGAATGTTCATTTTGGCTCAGTTTCAGAGCTTTCAGTTTCTGGGCAGTTGGCTCCTCTGCTCTTGAGCCTGTTGCAAAGCAGCACATCATGGCAGGGAGCAGCTGAGAGAAGAGCTGTTGAAAAACAGCAGCCAGGAAGCGGGGAAGGAGGGAGGAAAACCAAGTCCCAGGATCCCTTTCAAGGGTACATTCCCACTATGCTCTGCCTCCTACAGGTTCTGCCATTTCCCAGCACTGCAATCAGCAAGGACAAAGCTTTCACATAGGAGTCTTTGGGGGTGGGGACATTTAAGATCCAATCTGTAACATACATGAAAAGTACCCACAGGCTGAAAAGCATGGGGAGGGGAAGCACCAAAATCATCTGAGATAAATAGAGGACTGGAACTCAGCCTAGGAAACATGGAAAAGATTCCAAGAATGGTCCGAGTCCGCATGTGCAGTTGTGCTCAGTTCTTGAGAAGTTCAGTGAGGGGAAACATTGGGGATCGCTGAGCACAACCCTGCCTGAGGACTTCCTGCCACAGGCCACAGGTGGCGGCTGCCCACAGCACCAGCCGTCATTCAAAGCCTTTGAGTTGCAGTGCTCTGACGGTCTCTTTGCCAATATCAGCAGACTTTTGATTCCTGAGGGGTTGGGCGAGAGTGCCAGCCAAGCTGGAGTGAGATTAACATGCAGGGAAGCTAACTGTGAGCTTCAGCCATCCCCATCTCTGACCAGACCACAGTTGACTGAGCTCCTGCTTTTGGCCTCATGGGGCTCTCTGGCAAGTGCAAGTATTGAGAAGAGCCTCTGCACTCTGCCTTTCCTGCCTGGCCAGCAGAACAGCACACCAGTCTCTTCAGCTACCCTATTTTAGCAGTGTGCCAAGGGGCTCAAGTGTTTTTTTGGCTCTGAGAGCCCTTGCAAGTCAGAGCAAGCTGCCCACCCACTGCTACAGAAAATCCATTAGGCAAAGAAGCCCTGCTAAGGAAAATCCAGTAAGGCAACCAAGGTCTCTTACTTACCTTTGACTCCTTCTTCTTGATTTTCTGAGGTAGACATGGTCTCTGAAGAAAGACAATCTGCTTGGTGGATATACTCCCTTCTCTACAACACACAGAGCTGAGTGAGTCATGGTGTACCTGGAAGCACCCCAAGCCTGACCCACATGTTGTGGTCCCTAACTACATTAAAGCAAAGGAAAGCTACCACCAAATTATGAAAAGAAGTCAAGAAGTGTTCCTGCTCCATTTTCTCATCTCCAGGCCCAGCGGGCTATTTCAGAGGCCTGACAGATTTTTGGTGGTTTATGCAGTCTGTCAACTTCCTTGTAGGAAGTTTCAATTTCCTTGGACTGGCCATGAGGCAGCAGCTGGTATCTCAACCAAATGAGGACATAATAGCTGCTTCAGTGAGTCTCAAAGGGGCGGAGCATCTTGCAAGTACATTTTTGGGAACAGTGGCTGGGATAGGCAGGCAGGCATAGGGCATGGCTGGTGCTGGGGTCCTCTATGGCATGGCTCCTACAGGGATGCCAGTGCCAAGCGGGCAGTAGGATAGATGGTGCCCGCTAATCAGCTGTGGCTCTAACAGCTCATTCATTCTGATACAGTGAAGGCAGGATACCATGGAACTGCCCTTAAAGATGACAGACAGCATAAAGGAAAACACTTTCACTGTTTTCATTGCTTTCTTCGTATTTTTCAAACATCTTACTGCATTCACCCGTGAGTCACAGAGAAAGGTATTAGAAAGCATTGTCTTGCCATCTGTTTTGTGCCAGAAGCCAGGCTGGTGATTTCACCCAAAAGGGCTCATTTAAGCCTCACCAAGATACTCTGAGGCAGCCGACTACCGCTGCTACACACTGGAAATGAGTTCTGGAACAGTTTATGGGTCACACAGGCAGAGATCTGCCTGGTCCTGAAACCCTCTTTCTGGTCCGCCATGAAGGCTTACGTAAGGAACAGGATGAAATAGTTATGAATATGAAATTATACGTAAGTTAATGCCACGAACAGGGCCTAGGCTCTGGGCTTTTCATTCCTTTTGTGGGGACACTGAGCAGCACCATAATCACCAGCTCCCCACATCCCTGGCCATAGTCTTCTCAGCTGTAAAACTGGGTTAAAAAAATTCTGCCTCTGGGGCGGGGTGGGGGTTAGCTCAGTGGTGTAAGTGCCTGCTTGGCAAACTTGAGGTTGTGAGTTTGATCCCTGGCACCAAAAATAAAAATAAAAAAAATTTTTAAAAAATTCTGCCACATAGGATTTTTTTCTTTATTCCAAGGATTGAAATTTTATATCAAAGGGCCTACCTAGTCTAGTCTAGGACACAAGGCAGGTGCTGAATTTCTTTAGCATTAGAAGGGCCTCAGCCCTGACAGTTTAGGGGGCTCACCTTCATCCTGCTGGGCAGGTCTGACTCACCAGCACCAGCCAAAGCTCTTGGGTGGGGGTGGGGTGCTGAGGAATGCTCCCACTGATGGTGGCAGACAAGTGAAACACTGTGTCATTCTTAGTTGTAATGTAAATGGTAAGGAACCAGGCTCCATAGGTTTGTCACAGCATTAAGTAAAGTTAACCACATGGCATATGTCTCAGGAACAGTGCCTAGCACAGAGTAAGCATCCAACACTAATAACTAGCATCATTGTTACCTGGTTGTTTTGACGACAGGAGTTGGCAGCACACAGGTAAGTTGCCAGCCATAGGCTGCTAGAGAGTTCAGCAGAGGCACATAGTCTGTCTGCACTTCAACACCCTGGGAAAGAAAGGTCATAGTTAGTGTTCCTGCCACCACAGGCCAGCACCCCAGCAATGGTGGACTGTTCCTCCCATTGGCCAACACAGCAGAGAAGCCACAGAGAACTCCAACTCATGCCAAACAGTATGGAGCCAAACTGCCAACACGGGACGTCTTTCCAGGCCCTGGCACGATCTGTGGTTGGCAAAGAATTAGAGCCAAAAGATTAGTCCATTAATTTTGTTTTATTCTTGTCTGGACAAATAGCCTCCTGTGAGTTTTCCTGAAGAAGCACGATACCTTGCTTCAAAGACAACTGAGGGCATTGATAACACATGCTGCTCTGGATGGTTTTAGAGCATGCCATAGGGACTTAAAATTACATGTGACAGATGATTAAGTCATTTGCATCCAGCCTCAGACACGTGTGTGTGCCTACCCACCTACACACGTACACACATGCACAGGCACCTGTGTTACACATCCCGCCTTCCAGGAATAAGCAGATGCTACCTATGTTCTATTTTAAATCAGGAGCCAGCGGACTGATGTTTGTCTTTCCATTTAAAACCACAGCCTTGTCTGCACAAAGCGACAGACAATGTGTGGTCACTGCACTGGGGTTTACTATGGAGAAATCTCTACATCACCCCCATTTTCTCCTGCTGCACTCCACACCAAGGAATAATGTGCTTCCTAACCTGTCTTACATATGCTAGACTCCCATCTCCATTACTTGGCTTCTGGTTGGTGGCTTTGGAAGACCTCAAACATGTATCCAGAGTTGTTCCAACCAGTGCGCCCATGAGGGCTCACTCTGCTAGTGTTTTGCAGCTGCAGGGGTATAAAGGTGAGCAGTGTCACAGTTCTGCTCCTTGAGTTCACAGAACTCAAACACGCAAGTCACCAAAGTACAATGGTCTGCTGTCAGGGCCATCAGTTTCAAATGCCAGCGAAAAAGGAAAGACTTCCTGGCAGGTGCAGATCACAAGACAGATCTGAGCACAGTGCACAAAACAGGGTATGCTTCACTTGCAGGCAGTGTGTATGACACGTGGAGGGAGCCCTCTGTCTGGGAACGCCTGGCCCTAATGACACTATCCTCTCCAGGGTGGAGGAGCCTGTTACCCTTGGAGAATAAAACCAGCTCCTCCAGCTTCCCTGGACAGGGAGCCAAAAGAGAGATGATGGGTCAGCCTGCCCTGCCTGTTCTGGCTTTTAAAGCTTCCTTCACTGGGTACCAAACCCATGTGGTACCAGGTCACCAGAACACTTGGCAACTCAGTTCTGTTTTGGGAGCCTCAGTTTCTCAACAGTATAAAATAAGTGTTGGCTATCCAGTGGTTGTTTAGCCTGGTTCTGGAGTCAGCAGTATTGGTCTTACCTGAGAAGCCGTGAACAATACAGATTCTAAGCCCAGTCTAGATTCCTGAACCAAGTAGTCTGGAGAGGTCCTGGAATGTGTGCTTTACAGCCTCTCCATACTTTAGCTAAGCACAGAATCACTATCTAGATAGTCTTAGGTCTCTTTGGCAAAAGGAGAGCCCACAGTTCTGTAGTCAGAATCTATCAGCTGTTACCTCCGATCTAACTTTTGCCATTCACCATATGAGAAAAAAAAATAGCTGGATGTTTACAGGAACAACTATGTTTTTGTGAGAAATACTGTTGGTGGCATAGGATGGAGGGGACAGGAGAAAGGGAAAGAGAAAGCAGGAAAACTGGGTAAGAAAGAGGGAAGGAACCTAAGAAAGGGAGCAAAGGAACAATATAAACAGTTGGAAGGTTCACCAGAGAATGCAACTGTGGCCCCTCCCTGAAGCCCCAGTCAGGCTGGAGATGGCTCAGCAGGCGGCGCAGTGGGCCTCCAGAGCGCAGGGACATTCCCTTTCCAGACCAGGGCAGCCAGGATACCCCTTGCTGGGCCTGGCCCTCATGCAGGCTAAAGGAAGAGTTCTATGGCTGTTGTATCCAGAGACACCCTGCCCCCATCTGTGTTCCCAGTTTAAAGAAAGGAGGGGAGAGAGAAATTTAAATCCACTCTCCAGCTTTGTGAACCTCACAAATGATTACTTGGGCCTATCAAAAATAACCTTCCCACTTTATCAAGCACTGTGACAAACCCGCCACAATCAGACAGTAGTCATAGCAACCAGGACAAGCTCTTGTGCCTCACAAAGCCCTGAGTGGCAGAATGGAGTCTTTTCATTGGTGGCTGTGTCCTGGCCGGGTTTTCTCTGCATGCGCCCAGAGCTGCAAGACAATGACCGACCCCTGCTGCACCCAACCCAACCTGCCTGCTCAGACAGGCCTCACCAAGGCAGCTTCTATTTCACTCCATGTTATTTCATTTTGTCACCATCTCAAAGAGAAAAACAGCAGGATTTCTCCCAGACATTCCTTTTCCCCCTAAGGGTAGGAGATGTCAGCCAGAGGTGTCAAATCATAAAGACCAAAAGGAAAAGAGAGAACAACAAAACGTAAGGTATGCCTGTGTGACTTAATCTTAAATGTTAATTTCTGGCCACCAATCACTGGTGAGCTGAGTAAAATAAAGATGGTAGGGGTGAGGTGTGACACCACCAGGCTCTCCCATCCAATTGTTTGGGATGGTTTTGATTTAATTAATATTAATTGTGGGTTTTGGTAAGTATCCATCAAAGTCTGTTTGCATATTATGAATGCAGGAAAAAGACAGCATTTCTGAAACACAGGATGAGTTCCATAAAGGCAGTGAAAGACACTTTTAAGTCCATTAGCTAAGAAAGGTGGTAGGAAACAGATCCGGATGGAAGGCTTTCTTTGATCTGCTTTTCTGTGACACACTAGTGAGGAGAGAAGAAAGCAGGAACAGCACTCAAAAGCCAGCCTGCTTATCAAAAAGACATTTCTTTCTGTGAGTTGGAGCAAAAATTTTAATTAACTCCCCACTCTCCTATGGTGGATACACAATCTCCCATCACACCTGGAGTGTTTAAAAAAAAAAAACAAAACTGGAGCATGTCCTGTGGTTTTTCAACTTGTATAAAAGCAACTCATTTGTATTTATGGCTCTTTTCCCCTTTGTTCCCTATAATTTCTCCAGTGGTTGCAAATCACCTAGAGAAAAAGACATTCAATACAACCTTCCCTTACCCTCCAAAAATTATGACAACACAATAAACAGTAGTTTGAAAGAAAATACTTTGCTTCTTGTACATGACTGTACGTACAGGACTTTAAGTAAATGAAGTGAGGAATTCAACTTCCCTTGCCAAAAGGTGCTAGGAACCGAGTGAAGGGTATTCTGTTTCTGTCCTGACGTCCAGAGTTGAGGGAGCCCTTACTTCCAGCAAGATAGCATGGAAAGAAGAGGCTTGGAAAATCACTCCTGCATCTTTTGTAAACTTGCTACCGAAATGCCAATGCTCAACACGTCTGGATATATTTCTATTACTAATACTTATCAATTTTAAGTATATCTTTTGATTTCCTTTTATAAGAAATACAGAAATACTGTTCCCATACATATTTCTCACTTTATTGTGTCCCCAACTGGTTATTATGTAATTTTAATAATTATGTTTAATTAAAAATGCATTTCCATTCTTACACCTTTATAAATATCTCTCAGTGCTCTATTTTATGTTATCAATAACTATCTCCTGATCCTAAATATATGTCCCACATTTTTCCACTAGGACCTTTCTGAAAGTCCACCAACACTCAAATCTGACCTGATGTCTTTCCATGCCTAGCTTTTCCTCACACTGGCATCTCCTTTTTTTGGTTTCTGGAACACATCCTTTCATAGTTCCCTAGGTAAAACAATGGCCTGAAAGTCAATTGAAGCTGCATTTTTAAAAATACCTTTGTCTTCACTTTAAACTAAAAGTCTGAGCAAAGAAATCTGAGCTGAGCCCCACCCCACCCCCAACTTGAAAGTACTGCTGCACTAGCTTCTAGGTGCTAACATTCCTAAGACAGGCTTCTTACTATACTAATCCTTTGAATGGAACCTGCTGTAATGCTTTACAAGTTTTTAGGATTTTTTTCCAAGGCATTCCAGAATTTCAAAATATCCTTTAGTGCAGGTCTTATTTACTCAAAAGATTGTACATTTGATGGCCGTGCAGTCTGAAAACTTATCCTTTAATTCTGTAAAGTGTTTGGTTTTGGGTTTGTTATTTTGTTTTACTTGATAACTTTTCTCCCATATTTCGTCGTCTTCTTCTTTCTCTTTTCCTTTCTTTATTAGTCAAAATATGATATTAACGTTTTAATTTTATTATCTATCCCCATATCCTTATTTTATTTTACTTTCTGAGAGATTTCCTTCCAGTCTTTCTATTATGTTTTTGCTGACATATTTTTAAGATTCCAAAGTTTTTTCTTTTTTCTTTTTTAAGAGCATCCTGGTTTTATTTCATGAATACATATATTTTATCTCTTTAAGTGGTTCCTTCTGATCCCTGCATTACCTTTACAGTTACCAGGTTGCATGTGCGACAGATGGAGAATTCAGGATCTTTCCACCTTATATTAAAACTTTAAACCGATTTCCTTCCTTTCAGTTCTGCAGTTCCCTACTTCCCCTAACCCCTAATGACTTGGGGGCTTTGAAGACCAGAGCTTTTCTTGGGTTCTGCAGCAGAAAAAAACCCTGCTCCCTTTCTCATCCAAGTATCAGTTTCCTCTACTTTCTGTAACCAGTTCAAATTTTTTATCTTCTAACATTTGTTCCCTCTCGTAAAAAAAAAAAAATCACTCATCTTTATTTTCTCTTCTACTCTTCGTGTTCCCTTGGATATATGTCTTTCTAGTGTTGGTCCCCACTATTTTTTGTAGTTATGTTTTATACATTCATCAACACTAAATTAGTGAATACTGAATCATTTTTCCTAGGGGAAATGCAGGGTTAAATTATTGTCAGCCTCTGGTGACATTTTTTTGTCAACTATCACACAAAACTTTGTTTTATGTCTATTTCAGTTTAAAGACATCTTGGTTAACATATACTGTTGACTTTAATGCTGAAC